CATAGATTGATCATATATTATACATAATTGTCGATGCCTATATATGCAATTGCTTCTCATTTGGTATTTGAGATTCAATGGACCTGGCCTTTTGGTCAAGCACTAGCAGCTGGGATTTCCAAATCAAATTTTCAAATGCCAAGGAGGCAAAGTTCAATTAAAGTTTTAAGCCCATATCTTACTCACTTTGCGAAAAGAATTAAAGGTTGCATACCTAAATGCATTTTCCTCTAATTCCACATCATTACACTCTGATTTAGATCCTTTCAAGTAATTGTTTAGCTCCATTTTTCTCTATGGTACAACACTCACCGTATGTTAATAGAAACTTACTTATGTATAACTAAGGATAACTCGTACCTAAAGATACGGTATCATGTAAATAGTTTTGAGAGGGATGATGATGACCGTTAAATAAATCTATTTGAGACCATCAAATAGACTTATTGAAGTCTATCATTTTTTATATTATAGATGGGTCCAATTTAAATTCATGTTTAGTGACCTATCAAAAAAAAAATAGAGATAAAATATATGAAGGGGATCTCACTCTCTTATACTCTACCGATAATGGGGATTTCACTCCATTACTTGTATTTTTTTTTCTCATTACTTGTTCCTGGAATATAAAAGCTTGTATACCATTTCAAAGCCAAGTCTTTTATAATCACTAATGATATGCTTCTCAAATTTTCACAGAAAAATTATCGATAAGTATTATTTTTTTCTATAAATATTTAATAAGTCCTATTATTTTTTTTATATCAATTAAGTTTTATTTTTTATTTTTTATTTTCATTAAGTCCTAATTTTATTATATTTCAATTTTATCCTTACTCTTTAGTTACCAAAACTCTTTCATTCTTTTGCATTCTTAGAATCAATTAATAGAATATTACATATTCTACATCAATATTAATTGAAAATTCTTGCAAAAATCATATTCTATTAATTTATATTGGATTTAAAATGATTAAGTTAATNGTGTTGTGTACGAATTTATATATTTTTCATCCGTCACCCGTTTAACCCTACATATTTGATACCCTAGGTGCTGGTGCGGGTGCCAGCTCATTCGAAAAACTAAATTTGGAAGAATACATTAGGCAGCGTAGCATTACCGTTTTCAAATTTGAACTGGATCCTCACTGGATGTCCAAAGCAAAGCCTAAACGAAGTTTGTAAAGACATAGCAAACCTTGGCGGCAACTCTAATACAATAGAGAAACTTGGGTAAAATATACTTGCCATACTGAAAATTGTGTTCAATCTCACTTTAGTCTCTAAATTTGTAATAATAATATTTTTGTCTCATAAATTTCAATTTTCTTTTTAAATAGTTCAATTCGACGGCTAACTTGCAGCATTCCATAATGATTGCAACTTATCGATTTTTATTAATTATTTGGACAAAATTAAATGACAAAGTGGTCAAGTCTCATTACCTCGTCATAATGATATCGTAAAAATGTCGCATGAACCTATTTATATAGGAACGGAAATAGAATCACCTTGATACTAAATTAGATGGAACCCAGGATCTTCTCAGAAATGGGAAGGTCTAGGATAGGAGGCCAACCTCCTAGAGAGAGTGATGTGCATGGACTAGGTGAGTAGGGATGCAGCTACGTTCTGAAATAAAACACAACTAGAAGTTGATAGACACAAGTGAGAATAAGCAAATAATTGAGGACCCAGAAGTATATTTTACTCTGTTAGGGACCATCTCAAAGCCAAGTTTATTTAAGACTTTAACTTCCGTACAAGTTTTTTTACATAAATCCAAGACTTGGCCAAAAACCAAGCTGGTGAAAACTCGGCAATTCTGGATTACAGCTCAAGCGAGCACAGCCAAAAGACTTTACTTTTTTTTTCTTATCAAAAGACTTTACTAAAATCACTAGATTTTTTTATTATTAATTTTCTCCCAGTTTGAGTTACAAAAATAATTAAATATTCTTGTGGTATTCAATTCTGTATAATTAATTCTTTTGAAATTAATAAACAGGGTAC